CCCCTACCATAATGTCAAAGGTGTTTTTCTCAGGGGACAGTGCACACGTCATCACGCAAAGCAAAGAAACAGCTCATCCTAAACAAAAGTACAAAACCCTGAATACATGGGTGAGGGAGTAAACGTGAATTGCACTTCAAAAATTTGGAAATTGATTTGCAATAAACTGTTTTAATTTTTCTCAAAACTATTTTGTGGGAAAACTTTTTTAAGTACCCATTTATACTAATAGACTTTATTTCAAGCACTTCAATTTAAAATAATGGGTCAGTAGTAGTCCAGATAAATTACTGAGCAAACTCTGAATAGTAAGTATACATTACCCTACCATAAAAGATTATCCTTAATTATCAGAAGAAGCAATTGTTCTTCATTTAAAATGATGGCTCGTGAAGAATAAGTTGCTAATAAAGTCAAGAAAACTTAAAAAAAAAAAGGGGGCAACCAAAAACACCCCGCAAAATTATCCACCTTCTGAGTAGAATAGTAAGGATGAAATCTAATCTATAATGCAAAAGTTCTTATTATATAAATGTCCAGCTCTTCCTTTAATTTTACTAGGATTTTTAACTTGTTTCAATGAGTTATACACGTTGGCTGGTGTGGGAGAAAAATATTTGTAGTGTTACTTACTTCCCTGCTAGGGTCTAGCATATCATTTAAGGATTTTGGGTTTTTGCTTTGCTGTCGCTGCCAGTTTAGCAGATAGCTGTCCTCATTAACCCCTAAGAATTTAACTTTAACTTAAAATTTCTCTTTTTAGCTAATTATTCAGCTTAATAATATGATTAGATTTATTTTGCATACCAAAATAGCTGCCTTCTGAGATCATATGCTCCATAAGGGTTTTTTCCTGCCACTAGCTTGCATTGCCTTATGTGTACTCTGCATTTTAGAGTGTACTGAAAATAACCTGTTGGGACACTCATCAGATCAAAGGAAAAAACTAACAATAACTTTAGCACTTGCTGTTAACTTCCTTTTTTGAAGATGCTGCTTCTTCCCACTGTGTGCTCACTGTTATGTAGCGTGTGTGGTGTGTGTTCTCTGTAACCAAATAGCACTACATGGTGTATTTGGGTACGCACAGTAGTATTTCTATATCTTCTGAATTTCTCTCAAAGTTGTGTAAGATCTCTGAGAGGTTCTGACCTAGGTTTTCTTGTTCTGCGGTGGGCTGAAGGTGCGTGAGTGAGTATGTGTGCTTAACTGAACGCATACCTCTGTGTAAGCAAAGATGGCAGGTCTGTAGGCCTTTCTGAAGATACTTTATTTTGCTACAGAATTGGCAAGTGGTCTAAAAATTCCCTAGTACAGGATCACAGCTGCCAAAACATTGCTCCTTTGCAGTGTAGTTTCCACCAGTTTGGGGGAAAAAACCCTCTTGATTTTTGGCCCTGCTGGGCTGACACACTGTAGTCTGGGTATATTCTCCAAGTGAAGCTTGACAAACTGTTCCTTAATTCCCCTGTCCTCTCAGCACTGCAGAATTAGCAAACCAAAGCTTCACACTATTTGACATGAAGGAAAGTAAGTCTGGCATGACTGGAGCTTGGAAATACAGCACATTGATGTCTTAAGGGAATCAGATTCTGGATAATGCAGCCACAAACAGAGGAGCAGAGACCAGATCTTGAAATGAGGTTTCTTCCACAGAAAATGTAATGGAACTAACTATGCAATTACAGTTTATTTTTAAAACTGAAATTATGAGAGCAAATGGTATAAGGAAAGAGGGGAACGTTTCTGCAGCAAGAATGGAACTCTACCTTTCTCCTGCTCTCCCAAGGTATCCCAAATAATCTGTTCAACCCTAGTGAGAAACTATGATCTGGACAAAAGCAGAATAAAAACTTATTTATCTCATTTTTCTGGTCAGCGCACTGCACAAAAGGGGAGTACAAAGCAGCCTTGTTGAAAGGCACAGTGACATAGTCAGTGGCTGTCCATACTTAGGCTTGTTTCATCAGTCCCAGCTATAAAGCAAGCTGGAGACTTGGGCTTGTTTTCTTCAGAGGTGCATGTTTGCAACACTGCTGCACTTGGAACCCGTGGAAGTTTCCAATTTGGTCGTCTTTGTTGCAGAGGGGTCTGTTATGAGGCATATTCAAGGGAAAGTACTGGATTTTTAGAGACCTTCCAATAATCCAGCGTAGTCCAGATCAGCTCTGATCCTAGGCGCAGTGCACCAATCCTTTCCTTCCTGGTGCGGGGAGCGGGAAGGGGAGGCAGCTGTTGAGACAGAACTGGGGTAGGTGATTTGGTTTCCTGAATAGGGCTGAATTAACTCTTGGCGGCTGCATGTTTTAGCAGGCACCTCGCTTTTTCAGACTACACTTCAAAGAAAAGGAACCTCGTCTCCGCTCGCGCTGGCTTCGCGGCTGCTTTGTGGCCTCGGCGGGCTCCGGGAGCCGGTCGGGAGCTGCTGCCCCGGAAGGTGGCGCTGAGAAACCTGCGGAAAACGGCCGGAGCGCCGGGAGGGGCGGGGGGTGCGGGCTCGGCGCTCGCGAAAGGTGGCCGCGTTGGGCAACCGTTAGCCGCGTGGTCTTGGGTTTGAGGGTTTTCCCCACCCATTTTTCTCTTCTGGAAAAGGTTTTATTTCTCTTCCCTTCTTGCATATGTATACCTTTCTCAGCTAAAGAGCTCTCTTCCCTTTTTTTTTGAAGCATAATTAAATAAG